ATATATACATATATACATATGTATATATGTATATATGTATATATGTATATGTATAATGTATATATGTATATATGTATATATATATATATATATGTATATATTGTATATATGTATATATATATGTATATATATATATATATATATATATATGTATGTATATATGTATGTATATATGTATATATATATGTATGTATGTATATATGTATATATATATATGTAGATATGTATATATATATGTATTTATATATATATATATATATATATATATATGTATTTATATATAAAAACATGTATTTATAAATAGAAATGCCACAGATAGACTGAGTCTACTCTACTACTCTGAGTAGAGGGATAGAGCGAGAGACTGTCGAGTGTCGAGACTCGAGAGAGAGAGTTTCGACTTTCGAGGTACTTTTTTTTATTTTAAAAGCAACAACAAATTCATTTATGTAAAATATTGTAAAATTAAGGGTAAATATTTAAAAATCCTATTTGTAGTCAGTGTACACGTCATGAAGGATTATAAATGGCTGTCCTGACGAATCGTCACCATGGCTTCACGTACTCACATATACATACATACACACCACCCTTCGTAGAGCCTATATATCATTCATGTGCAATGGTGTGAAGGGGTGCTATAGATGGAGCCAGCCATCGCTTAGGGCAATATGGACTACATCTACAGGCGAAGGGCTGCTCAGAAGCCTAAAATAGCACAGTACTGTCGACTGGTGAAGAAAGACGGAACTCTCAACGTACAGTACATCGGGTGCCCAGTGAAGTACAATGTCTCCAATATGTATGTTACATTTCAGTACATATGTGTATCGCTGGTTGGTTAGTGCATTCTTTTGGTGTGTTCAGCGTAGTTGTATAAATCGATGAGTCGTCGAGACAGATAGACTGACGTTGTCTTCATTTTCTTACGTTGCTTGGCAAAGAGAAATTCCTCTGCATATCTGCACAAGTAAATATCTTTTGGCACGTGTTCAAACCTATCCTGATCTTATAAATGCACATATGCACATTCCCAGGTACCATGATATAGTTGACAAGAACTGGCCGTTCTTAATTGTGCTGATCACCGTAATGTACACCTCGTGCGCACTTTTCTTTGCCACGCTGTACTGGATAGATGGTGGAGTGTTAAAGTCATATACGTCTCCTTCCGACCAAGAGCTCACATTTCCAGAGGCGTACTACTTCAGTGTTCAGACACAGGACACGATAGGATATGGCGCATTATACCCTGGCGGTGAGTGACTGAGATCGTTCTATGTCGTGTCTGTGATTGCGTGTCGCGTCATAATCGGTGATGAATTGTAGCTGTCACTGTCTAATATATAGGGAGAAGACGTAAGCAATATTCTTTGTATATACTGTGTAAATAGTTTATATCGTAATGACCACGCACAATCGGTTATCCGCTGACTGCACCAGTATAGCGCACCTGGTGATTGTTTTGTGGGCTTTACTGGCTTGTGTTAGCTTGCTATATAGTGTGCGGATATAAGAAATCGACAGTTCCAAGGAAAGAGATGGATACATGGCTGATACAATCGTATGCTCGTGTGTTAACTTAGGTTTTTGCATGGAGCGAATTTGCACATCTTCCTAGGCCTGTATGTATACACTATATTCCAACTTACTTTCGTGTATGACCGTATCTCTGCGGAAACGCATGCTTCGCGCACAAAGTTATATATCACTAGATAGTATAAACGTATGCTTACTGTGCTAACTAGACACCCTGCGATTAAGCATAGCCCTATCTGTGCATTCGGACACATGGACACGAACACTGCCTCGGCTTCTATGTTCACACAACGTTTTTTTCAGACAATTTATTCCCGCTTAGACATGCCTGTAGCTCAGTAGTATCGAGGTACTATTGTGCTGCGAAAGAATTGAATGCGCCATACGACATATACCGCAGGATAGTTTATGCGCAGGTGTGGATTGTCGCAACCATCTCCCAGATGTTGCTCGGGGCTCTTTTTATACTTATGCACACGTAACGTATCCAGTACGTGTACATCAAAGTTCCTTGCGATGGTGTACAATGTACATGCGATGGTGTACACGTATGCATGTATATGCGATGGTGTACACATATGTATATATATGCGATGGTGTCTACATATGCATGTATATGCGATGGTGTACATATATGCATGTATATGCGATGGTGTACACATATGTATGTATATGCGATGGTGTACACATATGCATGTATATGCGATGGTGTACACATATGCATGTATATGCGATGGTGTACACATATGCATGTATATGCGATGGTGTACACATATGCATGTATATGCTTACCATCCATGCAACGTACTCACCATCCTGTTCTCCTGTCACATCACTGTGTGCACACGGCTGTCTGTTCGACGTATGTGTGCAGACCAGGTGACCACCAACCTCATATCGGCGTTGCAGTCGTGGCTGTCCATGCTAGTATACGCTACCATTACCGGTATAGTATTCACCAAGCTGTCACGGCCATCGAAGATCAAAAACAACATTATGTTCTCATCAAACGCCGTCATCAACAACACCAGCAGTCTGACCTTCGTACCAAATGCGCGGGGCGGGTATGATTACTGCACGTGTGTACATGGGGGAGTCTAAAGGATATTATATAAACAGACAATATGTTTTCGATCTAGCGCAGATATATATATATATATATATATACATATATATATATATATATATATATATATGTATATATATATATATATATATATATATATATATATATATATATATATATGCACAACCTGTATGAGTATGATCCCTATGTCATTTTGATGGTCGTGTGTAGAGCGAATGAGTACGCAGAATGAGTATATATATATATATGTGTGTGTGTGTGTGTGTGTGTTTGCTGAGCTTGTGCTTTAATTTATGATGCACACCCAGATTTGTATGATCCCAAGAAATTTAGTACGCTTACGTGTGGAATAAATGTTTATGTACGTGAATGTATGGACCCACAAATTAACTGATAAGACGCATGTGGTTCTAAATAAGTACATGGGAATATACATCCGTGGAAGACGTAGAAGAGCTCATTGGCGTGCATAAACCCTGAAGTCTCATCGAGCCTTCGTGCACACAACAGTACATCTGTACGAATGTGCAGCCTGAGCGCAGCCGTTATCAATACAAATCAGACATAACACCATAACACACACACACACACTGCTTAGGCTGTATATTCGAGTACAACACCACAGAGGGAGTTGTTGTAAAGCACACGCACGTGAAAGAGTATGTACTTGGCAGACGAAATGAGTGTGCTGCGAAACAGCACCATATGTTCGGGATGTGTTGGCAGTCTAAAATCCTCCTAGGTTGTAGCGGATGATACACTTGTCCGTGGCTGGATCTCCTGTATCCGCCGAGCTCTGTACAGTGTATATCGCCCTGGAGGCTACCTACAACGTGTGCGTGTTTTGGCGTTAGGCGTGCACGTACTGTTGTGAACATGCAATAACTGCATCTGTCCGGTGCGTATGCGTGTTACAGTTTAATCGTAGGACCCGCTCTGCGACGTGGCACAGCCATCTGGAAGTGTTGACACAGCTTTATCGGTGCATAATATAGTATCTGCGCAATGCGTGTCTGTGTATATGGACACGTGGTATCTGCGTGTGACATGGTTTGTATATCAGGCCCTCGGACTTCGATACTGTCGAATATATGCGCTACTTTCAGGCAAATCTCAACGCCACCTAAGGAGGTGTATAGTTGCCCCAAGTCATGGACTGCTTGCCCGTTGAATATACCTCCTGCAAGGTGTTCAGTGATTTTGTATATAAATATATTCATAACATTATAGGGACGGGTGTTCAGTGATTCTGTATTTGCATATATTCATAACATTATAGGGACGGGTGTTCAGTGATTTCGTATATGCATATAATCATAACATTCTAGTGACGGGTGTTCAGTGATTTCGTTTATGCATATATTCATAGCATTCTAGGGAACATTATAGGGACGCATGTTCAGTGATTTCGTGTATCCATATATTCATAACATTATAGGGACGCGTGTTCAGTGCTTTCGTATATCCATATACTCATAACATTATAGGGACGCATGTTCAGTGATTTCGTACATCCATATATTCATAACATTATAGGGACCCATGTTCAGTGATTTCGTATATCCATATATTCATAACATTATAGGGACCCATGTTCAGTGATTTCGTATATCCATATATTCATAACATTATAGGGACGCGTGTTCAGTGATTTCGTATATCCATATATTCATAACATTATAGGGACGCATGTTCAGTGATTTCGTGCATCCATATATTCATAACATTATAGGGACCCATGTTCAGTGATTTCGTATATCCATATATTCATAACATTCTAGGGACGAAACAGAGGGCGAGTACAGATCGGGTGAGGAGCCCTGTCTGGTATTCCGCATAGCGAACGTGCGTAAGGCTCAGCTGTGCGCGGCTTCTTTCACATTGCTGTGTGTCTCGTACAAACCAAATGAACATGGCGAGCAGTACACCACGCAGGCAAGTACAGCTTTCTGAGAGTAGAGAATCCAAACACAAACAAAGGAGTGCATTTTCATGCGTCTATCACATATTTTTATAACCTACTGAGAGCGGGAGTATCCTGATAGACTGTGAACTGAGCCTACTATGCCAATCGCGTGCATTGGCTTTACGATCTCTCACCCGCACAGATCCATACCACACGGAAGGCGTTCATAGACTCAAGAGTATGCTACTAAAAGTGTAGATGTCAATTCCTATTGATAGGCTCTCAGTTTTATACCGCTTTGTGATAGATCTAGTTATCTACAATTGCCTTTCAACAGGTTCACATGCTCAATACATCGAATAAGGCAGGGTTGTGGTGTGTGTGTATTCTACAGGAATATATTCAATTCGTGAGTGTGGGAGTTAATACCATATTCCTATGTGTGTGCCTAGTGACTATAGACCTAAGTAGGAGTACACAGGTTTTGTTGCATGTCTAGATCCCCTTGTGTGTGATCATTCTAGTCCGTGTGAGATTATAGACATATGTGGAGAACACGCTTTGTTGTCGATCTACATTCCGAGTATGGAACGGACAGCGCAGCTATGGCTTCGGTTTATATGGTGGCCACATCCGCTCATGTGTTTGATTTAAACATGCACAGGAGTTGAACTTCGAGATAAACCAACAAGTGGGACGAGTGCGAGGGATGAATTTCAGTGTGCCGCAACTGAACTTGCCCTGGAATGTGGTGCACCCCATTGACAGGTCATCACCACTCTACGGGTTAACGGCGAAGGAAGTGATACGCAATCGCATTGAGATCATTGCGGTGCTGGACGCCATTGACGAGGCCTGTGCTGACAACTTTCAGGTACGTTTTCTAACCGAGGGTTTAAACTTTGAGGATGCCAATCTCCGTGCGTAGTATTCTCAGTGTGGGTGCTTCGTATCATGAACAACTTGAGGTCAAGTTGCTTCGCAATACACAGAACCAAGCCAAGACTTAACGGCAAACATGTTTATATACGACTATGCGCGCGACAGGATACATTGAAGACCTCTATTCTCCGTGTGAGAAAACACTCTCTAATAGTAAAAGAGTCGGTGTGCTTGTACAGTAATTATGTTGCGAAGGAACACCACATACAAGTATTGATAGACTGCAACCGTACACTGTGTTCTGCTGTTGTTGCACAATGTATACTATTGTTCGAAGCGGTCGTGAACGCCATAATTTAATGCGACCGATTATTTCACACACGTTTATGACCACGTACCGTTTTGTATTGCGACATTAAGTATGAGAGTTCACTATATTTTATGTGCGGAGGACATACGTCCAGTTTATTTCACGCCGCCAACCCTACAGTGTAGGTCGTTTATTATATTTGTACTGCGGCTGGTAACTATGTGATTTGATTGCGATCACAGTCAAGGATAATGTATGGGTCACGGTTCTATAGTTGTGGTCCCATTGTACATATCTATACTACACATTATCAATTCAAATCTAAATTTAAAACACCTTGGATACGGCACACACACCAGGCAAGAAGCAGTTATACAGCAAATGACATTCACTGGCAAGCCGAGTTCGCGGATATGGTGGCATGTGTGAGCAAGAACAAGGTCAGTGAACATATCAAGGCTGTGCGACAACAGTCTCTTCTCCGCAGACGATCAGAGACGAGTGTAGAGAAAGCGAGACGCACCTCGAAAGGCTCAAGCCCAACATGCGCTCCGCCAAATGGCTCTATAGGGGGAGAGTCGAGTTTGGGACTTCGAAAGCTCATCAACGATAACACAGGCGAGTTCTTTTGTTTGCTTTGCCTTCGTATCCGCTTTTGACCAAGGTCCAATTGTATTTGCACCTTCTGTATTTCTTGTTAGTTTATACTTTAAATTATTACACAATAGCTAGGTGGGGTTGTAGCATCGCCTTAGGTGCGTGTTTAAAGTGAAGTGCACCGGTGTGTGTTGTCTGTCTGTCTACTGAATTTATTCAATACAATTTAGCCGTCGTACATAGGAAGAATTGTCATTGATCGGATGCGGTGGAGTGGTTATATTGCTTTCCTGGGCTACCAGTACCTGGTACAAAACACCTTCAAAATCAGGAGGACAGTATCGATGGTGCGAAGTTTGCGACGTGCATATACATTATGTCTATAAATTGTTGAATGCATATTATACATCATCATTACAGTGATATCCAAAGCGCAACCAGTATCACCGATGATCAAACAAAACCGTAGATACAGTGGAGGCGGAATACATGTCATGCCTCGCCTGGGGGTGATGCCTGGAAATGGAACTACTTCAAAAGTACATTTAGGTGTGATATCAAAGGTTTTGAACACCGGAGTTGGTGTTGCAGACACGGCAAACGAACCCGCACACAAACTGCAAACACAAACTGGCACGAAGCAAACTGACTCGGTTGGCAATCGGCCGCAAAATTTAAGCCCCGATGCTGCTTATAAATTAGCCGTGAACATTGTAGATGAAACTTCCCCATATTCACAACGAACAACAAGTCGCGATACAACTGCGGGGATACCAGATGGCGAAACTCTGCCTTTAATCGCAGCTACGAGTATAGAGGTACTATCTCGAGACAATGCCTCTGATGTTTCCAGTGCCGGAAGCTCCAGTGCCACACACGGAATGATCGTGGGGTTGCAACGACGCGGGCTGGTGGAGCCAAAACTGCGTCACGTATCGAGCCTGACCTCAGTAAATGAGGATGCTATTGTGGATATGTTCGATCACACAGACACAGGACATCGCGAGCGAAGTCCGGAGGATGTAGTAGATGAAGCTATGTTCGTTGCATTCGATGGAATTCTCGTAGCGAACTTCAGTCTCTTCGATACCGTGTTACCGTTGCCGAGCTCTGAAGATGTAGATTCATAGCAAAGAGCTTCTTAAAGAATGAGCGAAGCACACCAATACTTAGAGATTACTGGTATAAATTGTACTGTCAACTCAATGCGAGTGTCGGGCTGCCAATATTAGTTTGCTTCACTAAAATACTTGACAATGTGTTCAATTTCAAAAAAAAGAAAATGTTTTTCATATTGGAGGCACTTCAGGTTAAACTACTGATATGCAAGGAGCTACATACCGATAGTAGCCTTCATTGTCAGTATATTCCCGGATTCAGCTTTTTATGTACTACGAGGTATACATATGGTGCCACGGGAAGTGTCTTCCGTATCTCGAATAGCAAACTGTTGTTAGAAATAGTCATTCTGCTAGGGACGACGTAGGTGGGCCAAGTTTATTTGCTTTAATTTGTCTCGCGAACAACGATATGACTTTTTATTCTGAACATCTGAACAAGCTGTATAGTACAGCCATCCTGTAGTGCCACTCTCCAATCATGAGGATTGGTATAGTGAAGCACACCAGTCTGTAGTGCCACTCTCCATTCATGAGGATTGGTATAGTGAAGCACACCAGTCTGTAGTGCCACTCTCCAATCATGAGGATTGGTATAGTGAAGCACACCAGTTAATATTTACATCCAATGAAATCACTCGATTTCGGCCTGCTTTTTTCACTCTCTAAAACCAAAAGTATTTGTAAACCCCTCTAGGTATTTTATTTATTTTTATGAATCTCTTTGTTGCTACTCTCAAATCTGTTTTCTTACTCTCAAACCCGTTTTGGCCACACTTTCAACCCCAATTTGCTACTCTCAACTTCAATCTCTTATTCTTAAAACTATATATGCCACGCTTTCAACCCTAGTTTGGCAATTTTCTACTCTCAGATTCATTTTGTTCCTTTCAAACCCATTTCGCTACACTTTCAAACCCATTCTTATACTCTCAAAAACATTTCTGTCCGCCGGTCGGCCTAATCTCGTGATTTCATTGGATGTAAATATTAACTACATTTATCAAATTGTTGTAAAAGTTTTGGTCTCGTTGGGTTTTAAATTGAACTCGTGTTAGCACCTCGTGTTTTGGCTCGGAACTCGTGTCAAATATGTCGTAAATTCGTGAATCAACTTGTTGTTTTTTTTGGTTTGGTTTTGCAACTCGTTTTGAAACGCGCCCTTTCATCACAAAAAAAAAATGGTGCTCAAACTCATTTAATTTCCAAACTCGATCAAAACTTTTCAAACAATTTGATAACTGTACAATAATCATAGGGCTATGGTCGAGTGAGCCTGTTTGTAGCCAGCTTGCTCAATTCGATTTCGTAATTTCGCTACACTCTTCAGTTTAAGGGTAGTAGAATATGAACCATCTATTCCATTTGTACTGGGCCGCCATCGTTTATATCACTTCGGTAGCAAATTCTTTGGATAATTTTAGCCAAACTTTTCCTGCGCAGTTGAACTGTATCCCTTGTGTAGTTCTGTACTGTACCAACTGGGCAGCTGTGTATAATCACAGAAACCCTAATATTGTGGCACGATCTCCAACAGTACACTTTGCTATCTGCATATTTCATTATATATTCTCATACGGACTCCTGACTCGTATGATGAGTTTTCTACTGCCGGTTCCAGATATCTGTGTGAATTTTTCGTACTACGTTTGGTACATAAAGCATATGTGTATCTACTGGAGTGTACGCATACGTGGTTGAATACACAAGTATTGCCATGAAATTCCGCACACGCATACAAAGATACAAAGTTAAAGACAGTACACTCTGGCGCGCTGGATGCTACTCTATCTCGATAGCCTAGAAAGTGACTATATCGTTTGTATACGACCAACATTTGATCCAGATATAACTACTGTTGAAACTTTCAGCATATCTGTCGTAGCGTTAAATATGCGGACCAGAACGAGATATCGTTTGTAACCATATGTATTACTAACTCGAGAGACTCATATGACTAACTCGAGAGATTGACTTCTATATCGCGATTACTTGGGGTTTATCGATCAGAATATATATGTCCGTACCACACACTGGACTACAAACCCTCAAGGAAAAAAGACTACTTTCGATGTATTCTAGGCTCATTAGAATCAGCTGCTGGTAAAGGAGAATCATGTACATATTCATTATCCATTATTTTAGAAGTCAAAGGATGTGATCTGACCGGGGATTCCAAACGATAGAGGTTATTGTCGGGAAAAGGTAGACACCATAATGAAATATGCCAATTCGTATTCTATTGGTAATTTAGGGGACTTTGAATATAGTTACAAAAACCAGGACAGATAGCAAAGCTAAACCAGTCTGTAGGGATAATACTATTTATTTCAAAAATGGCAAGTATGTATGATACAATGTATGAACATATGGTGTAGCTCTCATAGTCGCTGTAGTGGTTCAGGAAAGATTGATGGGAAGAAGTGGTCAGTAAATTCCCGTTTGAAGCTTGGGCCAAGTTAGTCGACAATGGAAGATATGTGCTGAGTCAATTCGGGCCGGTGTTGACAAAACATTGTTACTATCGAGTGCTCCATATATTCGCTTGCTGACCTACTAAGTAGAGTACCCACTTCTGTGGTACGGATCGGGTCTGCGCCGTGTAGTGCCGCGGAGTGGGTTAGTGCAGAGTACGAAATACCGAGACGGACCAGGTTATCCGTCATAATTCGGTCGAGAAGCGAGGATGGGGGTAAGCCAATGCCGCACCAGACCATGGATGAATTCGGTATGTGAGCGCTATGATAGTGTACTTTCGTAGGGGTGAAAAAATCGCCAAAAACGTATGACGTAGAAAGCGGAACACCGTGATATTTGGGATGTTCTGTGGAATGTGACGAGTATACATTACTTCAGCTGGACAATGCAGCCATTAGACGGCTTATTATAACAGCTTCAAATAAAGCGACATTCTATATATATCAGGACCGTAAATATATTAACTGCCAATGTGCATGTTAAATACGCTGCTGATATACGTCGCTATTGATATAGCAAGTAGATTATATTATATCGACTAGTGCTTTTCTTCAGACAATTAACAGAATTTTGGTCAAATAGACTCTGCTATTTATGGTCTAGATTGGCCCTTGAAACGCTGTTAATGTCCGGATCAGAAGGTACATTATATAAATGCTAAACTGGGGATAGAGCTGCAAATCATCTCACAGTAACGCGTGCGTTGGGCATGAAAGATCATCAAATAAGTAGTAGTGACACATCAGGAATGAACCAGTCTATAGCTATGGTATTGCACAATCTAATAGGATAAGAATAGTATGTCAATATACACGTTGCATTCGACCCCGCTGATCATAGAATATATAGTTCAGAAATTTTACAAGTAGGTTATGAAGTTGTGACTCCTGCCATATGTTTGCCTCGAGGTATACTTGATTGAAGCTGATCACTCAGCCTCCCCGACATCCAATTATCTTGCTAAGTATGCATATGT